GCTTCTCTAATCTCGTCCATTAATTCATTAGTCACTTCAACATAATAAATTCAATGCTCCTAAGGGTGAGCTCACACATCACACATAAGTCTCTAAACTTTTCAATCAAATCCAACTCTTAAATCATCAAAGACGATAGATGAAAGATCATCCTACTCAAGGTATCTACCAGAATAATAGCTTTATTTCTACGACCCTCTCCAGAGATCAAGCGCCTAAGCGTAAGTTCACTAGGTACACAGAATCGATCTCCAAGTCTTACCACTTCATCTATACCCAAGGAAACTCTTCTCTAAATTACCTCGTCCTATAGCCTCATAGCTTGTCACCAAAAGGAATCAACTAATTGTGCTCCCCCGATTCTCCTTTGATAATTCACTAGTTACTAGAGTCATACCTAGTCTCACACTACTAAGGCAAACCTCATAAGTCAAGCTTAAATCCATAATTTGAAAATAAATCTGAAACATTTAAAAAATTTAAACAATGGTACACTTTTGAAGAAAATCAAATAGGAACTAATTATAATAGTCTGGAGTTATTTCATAACAGTTTAATGAGTTTTGTAGAAAACAGGGAATTAAAAGGTATAAGATTGTAGTTCATAATCCTCAACACAATGGCCTAGCTAAGAGGATCAATATGACCATTTTAGAATGACGTGTGAGGTGTATGTTATTGGGTATAGGTTTGCCTAAACATTTACAGAGTGAAGCTACAAATACTACAATGTATTTGATATACATATGTTCATCTTCAACTTTCAACTTCAAGACATCTATGGAAGTGTAGAGTGGTAAGTCAATCGACTATTCAAATCTAAAGGTTTTTGGTGATCCAACTTTTCCTCAATTCAATAAAGACAAACTTGAAGCTCGAGTTGTGAAGTGTATCTTCATTGGTTATCCAGAGGGTGTGAAAGGTTACAAGTTGTGGAAGTTAGATCTTGGAGAGTCAAGATGTTTTATAAGCAATGATGTCACATTTGATGAAACCAAAATAGGGATGATGTGTAAAAGCTAGAAGAAAGCAACTCAGAAATAGTTAAGGAGTTTGAGGTGGAGTTTCCTACTGGTGATTCTAGAAATAGTTTTATACCAACAGATGATGTACCAGTAGTCCATGTATCATTTGTTGGTTTAGAATATCAGCTAACAAGAGATAGGACTAGGAGGAATATTGTACCTTCTAAGAGATTTGGGTATGTTGACCTTATCTGTTGTTCTCTTACTATGACTACAAAGATACAAGACTAAAAACTAATGAGTTTTGAAGAGGCTATTCAAAGTATGGAAATACATAATTGGTTGCAAAGTGTAAATGAAGAAATAAAGTCATTGGATAAAAAATAGACTTGGAAGCTTGAAGATTTGCCTAAGAATAAGAAGGTAGTTGGATGCAAGTGGATCTTCAAGAAAAGAGAAGGTATTATGAGTGTTGAGAATGCAAGATACAAGGCAAGACTTTTGGCAAAGAGGTTTACCCAAGTGGAAGGGATTGATTATAATGAAATATTTTCACCTATGGTAAAACACTATTCTATAAAGATTGTGATGGAAATTGTGAATTAATATGATTTGGAGTTGAAACAATTAGATATCAAAACATCATTTCTTCATGGGGACCTTGAGGTGACTATCCACATGTAGCAACCAAAGGGGGTTGCAGATGATAAGTCTAAGGTCCGCCTATTGAGAAAATTACTTTATGGCTTAGAACAGAGTCTACATTTGTGGTACAAGAAGTTTAATGATTTTTTGTTAAATGAGTCTTTTGAGGAATAGCTATGATAGCTATATTTACATATTAAAAAATGGAGAAATATTTTTTCTTTTCTTGTTTTTATATGTGGATAATATTCTAGTAGCAATCTCTAGCAATGATGAGATTGGTATACTCTAAGAAAAGTTAAATTCTAAGTTTTAGATGAAAAATCTTGATGCTGATAATATGATACTTGGGATGGATATTGTGAGAAACGTCAAAGGGAGTGTTATTTTTATCCTAACACATGTACAAGCAAAAGGTATGGAAGAGGTTTAGGATGCACCAATATAAATAAGTTAGCACTCTTTTAGGTGATCACACAAAGCTCTATATCTCACTAGCTCCTGAAGAGGAAAAGAGGAAAATGTGTTATGTTGCATGTGCAAGTGGAGTAAGGAGTATCATGTATGGTATGGTTTGTAGCATGCATGATTTGGCTTATGTTATTAGCATTATGAGTCATTTTATGGTAAATTCGGTTCAAGCTCATTAGGAGGCTTTGAAATGGGTGCTAAGGTATTTGAATGGTTCTCTAAAATTTGGTTCAAGGTATAAAAGACACTTTGAGATAAAGAAGATATTGTTGTAGGGTATGTTTATGCATTAAACACATATTTACACTCTGCAAACATTAAGGAACACATCAAAGCAATCAGAAGGCAAAACAGAAAACATTCATTTTTTGCCCGTTTTCTCATAGGATTTCCCGTAGGAACCTACAAAGCACTCTAATTCACATAAAAACATATTCATTTTCAAAATTAACCACATACTCATGCATCATATCCAACAAGGAACACAACAAAGCAATTAGAAGGCAAAACAGAAAATATTTATATTGTGTTTGTAACACCCCTCGAATTTGACATCTCAATGAATTTACTCCACATTTATTTGATACAAAAAATGTTACATATAGTGACATACAAAAAGTGTCATTATAGGTACAATATATGTAGGTATATGTCTATTTGACATATAGTTACACACAATTTTAGTGTTGATTTTGAATGAGATTTAACAACATATATATTTTGTGTGTCACTATAGCCTATACTCATACTTTTTAATAATATATCAACATATATTGTAGTTATTGTGTAGGTAAAAGTAAATTTTAGTGATATGTATGGTGTAACTATAAGGTGTGCGTCACTATATGGCAATTTTCTTGTAATGTATTTTATAAGAATGAAAGATCGAGTAACGAAATTATAAGAAATAAAAGTATTTTATTATTTTTATAAACATTTTATAATGTAAATAAGAAAATTATGTTTATATATATTTAATGTATATATATTTGATTTTATATTTGTTAAATTTTATATGTAAATATGAAATTTTATATACGGATTTATATTACAAAATACTATATTTACTATTTTTTAATATGTAAATTATTGTAAATTTATATAATAAATTAATATATTTACTTTATTTGATATCATTTTTAAATATGTAAAGTACACACTTTTTGTCACATTTGTTTCTCTCCAAAAACTTCTTGTTAAAACATATAAATAAATATTTTATGCTAAAATAAATAAATAAATAATAAGATAAAAAAAAATGTATTTAATATTTTTAATATAATTAAATATTAATGAATGGTACTTTCATTACTAATTATGAATTATACAAATTTACTAATTATTAAAACTACTTAATTTAAAATTTATTAAAAATAAAATTATTATAATTGGCTAAGTAACGATAAAACGTGATGTAAGATTCATGTGTAAAAAATTGGATAGATAATTCGTAAATATTTTTCCTTCTTTAATATTTTTTAATGTAATTTATTACTAATGATTACTCAATTTAAAATTCAAATAAAAATATTAATTATAAAATTTATTCATTAATATCTTAAAAATTAATGTAAAATGTTTTTATTAATTTTAATTTTTGATATAAAATTTAATTAACATTAATACTTTTAATAAAAAAATATTAATTGCAGCTTTAAATTAAATGTGAAATTCTTTTCATAAAAATATATTAATACAAAAGATAGTAATTATTACATTAAAATTTAACATTAATATATTAAAAATTTATGTATAATATTTATATTAATTCTTAATGTTTCACGTAAAAAAATATTAATTATTGTACTGAAAATTCACTTTAATGTATTAAAAATTCACGTAAAATATTTATGTTAATTATTTTCAGGCATCATATTTAAATTATTTCTTAATATATTTCACATAAAATTTTCAAATAAAACTTTATCAATATTAATGTCTGACTCCTTAAAATTAATCCATTGGGCTGGGTCAACCCAACCCATTTTCCTTCTCTTCTAACCCACTTCTCTTTTTCCTCAAAATAATTAAATAAAATAAATACATGTATATTATAAAATATTTTTCCTCTATAATAATAATATATTTCTGACCCAAAATATAATAATATAATTTCAATAACAAAATATCATATAAAATCAATCTTCTCTTAAAACATATAAATATTTATTTAAAAATGCTAATAAAAGTACTTATTTAATACGTACAAAATAATTGTCCAAAACAATAATTATTTAAAACGTACAAAATAATATTTCTCTATAATTATTAAAATAATTATGACCAAATACCATATAATAATAATAATAATAATAATAATAATAATAATAATAATAATAATAACCTTTTTGAAAACAAGTGTGTTACAGTTAATAGGTCTCTATCCACTATGCTTAGAGCTGTCTTAAAGGGTAATCACAAATTTTGGGATGAGTATCTTCCACACATTGAATTTTCCTACAATAGGATAGTTCATAAAACTACCAATATTCCTCCTTTTGAGGCTATGTATGGCTTTAATCCTTTGACTCCTATGGACTTGATACCCTTACCTAATGTTGACCATTTTATTTATAAGGAAGGGGTTTTAAGAGCTGATTTTGTTAAAAGATTACATGAAAGGATTAAATCTCATATACAACAACAAAATGAGAGATATGCCAAGGCTAATAACAAAGGCAAAAGAAACATGATCTTCGAGGAAGGTGATTGGGTTTGGCTCACTACTAAAAATATACTATTTTACATCACCATATCTACATCAGTTTCAATGAAACCGATGTAAAATAAAATTGTGGTGGTATTTTTGTAATTAGATGAAAAATATAAGTATATCTACATCGGTTTTACATAAAAATGATGTAAATATAAAATATTTTAAATCGGTTTAAAAAAAAACTGATGTAGAAATGATGCGCGAACACATTTCTCTTTTCAAACCCTCGACCCCAAATCCTGCGAGGGAGGCCTCATGCTTTCCTTTTTTCCCTTTCTCAAATTAGGGTTCCGGCGAGCATGGCGGAGGGTCCCGCGAGCCTCGGCAGCGGCAGCCACGAGAGCTGCGACCACACTCGATTTCGAGGATTATATTGATCCTTTTTTCCCATTCTCTTTCAACTCTTCAATTCCATGGCTTACCAACCACAACCCTCCGATGCGTAACCTTCTTCTTCCTTCTCAGATCTCCATTCCATTCTTTTTTCTTTTTTCTTTCTCTTTTCTCACTCATTCCATTCTCAATCTTTCAGCAAAGGAACAAAGAGGGATTTCATTACCGAAATCTTGGAGCGGAAGAAGGTGCCCAACCAACTCGTCGTCGACGAGGCCATAAATGACGACAAGTCTGTCGTCGCGCTTCACCCCGACACCACGGAGAAGCTCCAGCTCTTTCGCGGTGACACCATTCTGCTCAAGGTAAACCACGAAGCGCGCTCGATTTTGATTCTAATGGAACAGAGTTTCAGCTGCGGCGCTTGATCGTCGATTGTGGTTTTTTTTTTGGTGTTTTATTTTAGGGGAAGAAAAGGAAGGACAGTTTGTATTGCGCTTGCTGATGAGACGTGCAAGGAGCCGAAGATACGGATGAACAAGGTCGTCAAGAACAACCTTAGGGTTAGGCTCGGGGACGTTGTTTTCGTTCACCAATGTGCTGATGTTAAGTACGGGAAGCGTGTGCATATTCTTCCCGTGGATGATACCATTGAGGGTGTCACTAGGAACCTCTTTGATGCCCACTTAAAACGTGAGTCGGTTACTATTTTTTCAAGGTTTTGTTTGTTGTGTAGGAGAATTGGGATTGGATTGTCTTTGGCTAAACTTTTTTACAAGTATTTATGGGGGGAGTGAATAATTTGAGTGCATAGGATGGTTTTAATGTAGGAGAGAGAGATGTTTAAGTCATTTTAGAAGGAGAATGTTGGGAGTGCATAGGATTGTTGGCTTCTGTTTTTTACTGATTGGTAACCTTTTTGTTTTTGATTATGGCTTTGTCATGGGCGGATTGGAAATTTTGCAGATGGAGGTAATTTTTAATCTCTCTTCTGATACTTGAATAGCTATTCTGCTTTGTAATTGTTTTGTTTGAGTGTATTTTTGTTTTTCGCACACCTCAATGTTACGGTTTTTCAATCTATCATTTTCCAGGGTGATACCAAGGGCTCAACCAAGGGTGGAGAATCATCCGCTAAGAAAGATGTTCTTTCAGCTCCTGGAACAAAGATCTTCCATCCTTCTGTTAATGATCATGAAGATATGCAGAACCTACAAAATTATGTCAAAGGATTTGCAACCATAGACAACCTGGCACTTGTAAATGTTGAGGGGTGAATTATGAATTGCATTCGTGTTACATATTGGCATTTTTGTTGCATGATGATTTCTATTTAATTTAAGGTTTTCTGTAACATATGTTATTTGTCTAATTGTGATTCCAAATTTTTCTCCAATTCTTTTTTTCAGAACTGGAATGGTTGGTGTTCCAGGTACAGCCAGTGCCATTTTTGGAGCAGTAAAAGATGTTGGAGCTAATGTTATCATGATATCTCAGGTGCACTTATAACTTTTTTGCACTATTTTCTAGTTGTCCATGTTGATGTATAAGAAATTGCATTCATCATTAACAGTGATTGTTAAGACTAATTGAAATATTACTTTACTTGTTTATATGATGATCAACACATTATCTGTGACTGAAAGAATAGGTAAAGCTGAACAAAATGGAAACATTTTAATCTTTGCAGACACATCTTTTTCTCCTCTGAGTGGTAAAAAAAGTTGTGTACGTCTGGTCACTCACACAGTATCCCTCTCACTCTCTCAGTGCAATGTCAATACTCCAATGGCAGCTTTGACTAATTGAAAGTTGTAGAATCACAACCAGGAATCCCCAAACCTCCAAAAGGAAACTGAAATCTGAATAGTCTCTCATACCGTTTAAACTTATTTGGTGTGAACTGCTTTCTTGATGTGTGTTAGATCAATTTTAGAAATTCACCTTTCGGGATATATGACAACCACACAATTTATTTCCAAAATGTTCAGAAGCAGCTTATGTTAAAATGTGTATTTATCGTTGGAGTGTATGAGAATTGTTTAATAATAACCTATATACAAAAATGGATGTAACAAAGGCAGTAATTAAGTAGTACTATTATTATCCTAAAAAAACAGTTATTATTATTACTGTCTAACTTGCTCTATTTTTATCATATAATGTGCATGTAGAAATAAATTTAATAGTGTAGAAATAGTATGAGTTTTGTATATGTATATAAAAAGTGGTGTTTATAGTAAGAGAGTTAGAGTAACTTACATAAGAGATTTTTATGTTTGAATATCACTGTGGATAAAATAAAATATATATATAATATTTATTTTTCTTTTTCATTGTTTAGTTGCAATGTTATATGTGTAAAATCCTTAAATTGCCTATAAATTTGTGTAATACATTTATTAGGATTTAAAAATTTAGAGATAAATATAAAGGTAAAAAAGCTGCATGATTTATTCATTGTGTAAGTGTTTTTAGTTTTCCTCTTAATCTTAATTAACAATAAGGGTATATTAGGGTTAAAATAAACGTGCAAGGTTCAGACTGCTTATTATGTTGGGATTAAAAGACTATTTTTTCTGGCACTGGATTAATATAAAAAAAAAATTAATTACTATAAAATGTTTAAGATAGTGCTTTATATGCATTGAGTCTGTCTTCTTCTAAGGTTATTGATTTATCGTTTTATTTATATCTAGTTTTTGCTTGGATTCGTTGCCACTGTGATTGACAAGGGTCAGATCACTTTGTGCAAATTAAAATAGGAAATTCTAATCGCGTTGTGTTTTGAAAAGGAAATCGGAGTAAATAAAGGTTGTGTGGTCGATGTAGGGTTGTTTATCTAAGATATTTATCTAGATTTTTTTTCTTCTTTTTGTGTTTATACATTATTTTTATAATGTGTTTGTGGTTTTTGGGCTGCCTTTTATGATTCAAAGATTGCAAGTGGGCGGTATCCTCCTGTACGTCTCTCAAAATTCATGTAGTCATGGCTTTGTAATGAGTAAATTGAGGAAGATGCCTATTGCTTTGCTCTGCCTATATAGTTTGAACATCTCCTTTCTCTTGTTTCTTTCCCAAATTTCCCTTTACATAGCTAGTGGTTTTCCATAAATTTGTTCTGCTGTTTAGCACCTCTGGCATGTTGCTTTTCCTCTCCAATTACTTTCTCAATTTCATGTATATAATTATCATAGTAGTCAATCCCGGATAGCGGCGCGGAGCGGCCAACCCTAAAACTGGGATAGCGGGATGACGCGGAGCGGGATAACCGCTATTTAAATATTAATTTATATATATTAAATAATTAATAATATATATATAAAAGCTAAAAAAACAAAAAAAATAACTCTAAATTCATGCATTAAACATTTTTAATAATTAAAAGTTCATAGTACTCAAACAATACATAATATAAAATGTCTCCAAAACAAAGTGTTAAAGCTCTAAGTAAGTAAAAAATTAAACATTATAGTTTAATCTTCTTCCTCATCAAGATTAAAGTCTTCCTCTCCCTCAAATTCATCACTCCCACTAGCATTAGAATTATATTCTTCTTCTTCCTCTACATCATCATCCTCGTCTTCTAGTACTTCCATCACTTTTTTTCCTTTATCTTTCTTGGATGTAGATGCAATTGTTGATGTCTTGTTCACTTGTGTTTGTCTCCTAGTGTATTTCAAAGGTTCACCGGCACCACTTGCTTGGGCAACATCTCTCCAAGTCAAAACATCATCATCAAACACCAAGTCATCTTCAA